GAGGCAGGTCCCTCTGCCCCAGGGCCTCGCAGGGACCAGCCCTCACTCTGTGCGGCCTCCTCCGCCAGGTACAGCCAGATCCAGGCCAGACTGCAGTGGGCACAGCCAGGCAGGTGGGGGCGTGGCCGCTCCCTAAGCAGGAACACGCAGATGGTGACGGACAGGTTCCGGGTCGGGTGGGGTGGGGTGGTGGCCACATGGGCAGCAGAGCAGACGTGGCCGTCAGCTGAGGAGGGGAGCAGACCTGTCGTTGGTCACTGTGGGCCTCAGCTGTACATGGGCGAAGGGATTCCTGAGGACGAGAGAGAGAAGTGGCTTTAGCTTGGGACAGGCACATGGGTGAGCTGGCCCACCCTGGGGCCTGGAGCCCGTGGCTGTGGGGTGCGGGGAGTGGCGCTTTCCGTGAGGCCTGCTGGCCCTCAGTGCCACCCTCCTCACCTCCACGTGTCCAGGGGCCCCCGCTTCGCTGTCAACCCCCCCAGGGCAGCGTGGGCAGGTGCGGCTGGGGAGGGTCCAGCTAATCTCCCAGCTGCGGGTGGACATCTGCCACGAGGGGGCGGGAGCCACGCCTTCGCAGGACCTAGGACCGTCCTGGGCGGGGTCCACGTCAGTTTGGCGAGCCCCCCCACCAGGCAGGCCATGCCCAAAGAGGACCCGCCGACACCAGGGACACAGCTCTGTGGACCCCGCGAGCCCAGCCCAGGCACATGGGGGGGTCTGCGGGACGACACGCAGCTCCACGGAAACACAGACACGAGACGCACACACACTGGTGCCCACAGGGCTGGGGTGGGATCCCAAGGCCCCTGCAGAGGGCTCAGCCACCTGTCACCGGGGGAGCTGAGCCCTCCGCTGAGTTTCCCGGGGCCACAGCTGACGCACAGGTGTAGGACTCAAGACAAAAAGTTGAAATGGGACGAGATGAGCAGATGAGCGGGGCCCTGCCTGGTCCTTGCGGAAGCCTCCTCCCTCTGGAGGACCCCCCCACGGGGACAGTACAGATGGCACGTGGACATGGAGGCACGGCAGGGACAGGACTGGCTCTGGTGAAGCTGCGCTCGGCTCCAGAGCCGTTACCTGGAGCGGAGTCACCTCTGGCGCAGCGGGGTCCCCGGAGCCTGGGTGGGCGGCAGCGGGCCCGTGGGCAGGTGGGCAGGGCTCCGTCCAGTGTGCCCAGGAAGCAGCCCGTGGGCCGGGCACATCTACCTGTTTTCCTGAGGACTTTGTGTTTTCTAAAGAACTGTGACACTTTGCACTGCGAGTTTTTAAAGAACCAGGTGTGGTGTGGAGACGGGCATATCAGCGTGGCGCCCACAGCCCGCACAGGGCTTGTGCGTTAACTGACTTTCCACTTAGAGCGTTGCGACCCCGGCAAAGGCTGCTCAACGCCGCCTGCTCGATCGGGCTTCTCTCGGCTTTGATCTGCACGGTGACTGCGCCCTCACTGAGGCCCGGGCGGCCAGGGTTCTGCCACGGCTGGTGGCGTTTGCCTCCAGCAGGCCCAGAGCATGGCCGTGCCCTGCCCGCCTGCTTCTGGAGAAGGGCTCTGTGGCCTGCGTCTGTCCCTGAGCCCAGTGTCCGCTGGGGCCTGGGGAGATTAGAAATGGGGCCAGATTTTCCTATTCAGAGTCGGGGACAGCAGAGGAAAGATCAGAGATGCCCCCCGGGTCCTAGAGGGGGAGCCGAGGGCAATTTTAAGGATACACCTTGCCCCTGCCCCGACTCACACCCATTCTCATCAGAGAGATTCTGTGGCAAAACCACATCGTCGCCGGGGTGGGAGCTGCAGGGCCAACGCTCTCCCGCTGCCCAGGGCCCTGTTCCGCAGCCCGTTTTCCATTTCTCCCCCAAAACGGAACCCGCCGAGCCATCCGCACCATGAAGTTCTGAGGACGTGGGCTGGGCCACGAATGGCCGCGTCCAGCCTTGGCCTTGTAGTCAGGCAGGACCTCTGGGTGGCCTCTCAGCAGCCCAGCCCAGACCCCACACGAGGCTCGGGGACACCCCGGCCCACACCGAGAGGACGCCTGAAATGCTCTACAGCCACCACGGAGCTCACCTGTGCGACCCTGTGTGGGGCCCACCAGAACGGGACGCAATTCGGAGCCCGAAGCCACTGCAGGGTCCCCCCCACCGGCTAGGGAGCAGGTCCCACAATACTCATCCCTGCCAGGGGACAAGGCCCAGGCTCAGCTTCCTTCTCAACACCCCCGTCTGGTGACAAACAGCAAACCACCGAGACAAAACCAGCACACCCACCCCTAGCAGAGGGGATGCCAACGACACCCGTCCCAGAGCGCGGGGACCCTGGCGGCAGGTTTGCTTTCTGAGTGGGACCTGGGGGGTCCTCGGCACACGGAGGACTGGGCCCCACTTCCTCGCCAGGGGACGCCGTCAGAGGCTCCTGGGTGAGCCCGCGGGACGGCCAGCGGCTCTGACAGACGGCAGTGGCGGCCACCCCGCGCAAGGCACGGCCAGGAGGGTGGTGTGGACACCCCATGGGGGGACCCCTGCCCTGCCCACGGGCAGCTCTCAGGGATGCTGTGACCAGAAACCACACGTCACGGGTCTTGGCCCCGCTACCCCTGCACATGCGCGCGGCACGGCAGCTCCCGGTCCGGAATCGCAAAGCTGAGGGAGCCGCGGACGGCGGGGAATCATCTGTGCTGCCCCAGGCGGCGGACAAGCCCGGTCACCACACAGTGTGCGCGGCTCCCGAGGTGGGCCTGGAGCAGGGGGCAGCAGCGAGACAGCCGCCGATCTGTCTCCACTGGAGCGGGTCCCTGCACTCGGGCGCGGTGGGCAGCGGCCTCTGTGACAGCACCCACTGGCGTCGGAGCCCCCAGCACCCTTGGCTCAGGGCAAAGTGTGTGTGGGGGGGTCCCTTGACCAACCACAGGTGGCTTTTGACACGCCCCCCCCAGCCCCCGTGAATCAAGGCACCAGACTGTGGCTGGGATACTGCGCTGCAGTCTCTGCCCTGCCCTGCACGTGGTCCCAGGTGAAGGCTGAGCCGTCAGCCCTTCCTGAGCCCCAGGTGGGGGGGGGACAACATGGCCCCCAGGCAGCTCAGAGGGACCCAGGGCCAGCAAGCAAGGGCTCTGCAGCCGCCCGAACGTCTCAGGAGTCGGGGGCGTGAGGGAGGGGGCCAGGGCCCACCAAGGGCATTTTTATCCTCCCGGCCCCAAATTTCAGGACTGTTTTTCTACAGAACTTTTTAGAATATGCTGCACCTCAACAACAGAAAAGCAGCAACAGAAGAGTCAGGGCCCAGGGTCTGCCTGCGACCACTGTACTTGGGAAGGATGACGGCGCTGGCCTCATGGGGCTGCCCTCCTGGTAGTTCAGGGTGGGCGGCAGGGGGAAGCCCCTTCTACCGGGGGGACAGGTGAGCACAGAGCCCCTTGCTGGTCCCTGTGTCTGTCTGGCCTCCCTAGGATGGAGGGAAAGGGGCTGTTCCAGAAGGCGGTTGGGGGATGCCGCTGAAGGCCCCCATGCGTAGCGAACCTGGCACCACGTGTGGGTCAGATGGGGCAGCAGAGCCCCATGTCCACCTGTCCCCACGGAGCCAACAGGTGCTCTGGGGGCCGTCCCCAGGCCCTGACCCTGGCTCCCCGGCTGTCATACTCACCGACAAGGCCGGGATCAGGCCGCACCCCACGGGGTCGGTATGAGAAGTGACAAAGTGACACACACCCGAAGGAGCCCAAGCGGTGCTGCATGGTCAGCTGAGAAAGGCCCGGCCCACAGCTGCTCCCCGGGGCCAGCCTTGGATTGCAGTCAAAGCACCCAGCAGGGCAGGAGAGGACCAGACAGAGGCCAGGCCAGATCCACGCCCAGCACGTGGGAGTGGTGGGCACAGAAAGGCGGAGCCCACAGCCTGCAGACGGAAGAAGAAACCCGCAAGCCAAGGGGCCTCAGTGGAGGTGAAGACCCAGAGCCCGGCGCAGAGGCAGGCACGGCAGACCTCCCCCGGCTCTGCCCGGCCAGAACGCACAGCTGGGGCCAGAGGGTCGCTGGAGAGGCAGACGACCGGCACGAGAAAGCCAGGGCAACTCACTAACTCTGGTCAGGGCGGCTCAGAATCTGGCCACTTCCACTTCGGCGCTGCAAGGAAACACAAGGCTCAGTTGGCAGAGCGGAGGGGAAGGCAGGGTGGGGGTGCCGGGCCTGCCTTGCTCCGTGTCCTGGAGGGAGCATGGAGGCGCAGGAGGGTCACGCCTGTGCCAGGTGTCCCTACCCTCTCAGCTCGGGGGGACAGGCGCGGGGAGACGGCACCTCTGCACGCCCCAGACAGACACGTGCAGGAACTGCAAGGAAGCTCCAGACCCAACTCGGTGCAATAAATAAAACTTTTATTCAAACAATTAACTGCAGTACAGGGCACAATTCAGATTTTAAAAAAAAGGAAAAGAAACAGGAAAAATATTTTCAGCACTTTACATCTTCGTACAAGTTTTGCGGTTTTGTCTACATTCATCCATTAAGCATGGAATCCCCTGGATTTGAAATCTTTTAGCAAAATTAGAACAGCACGGAAGGTTCTCCTTACAGAGGTCCTGGTCCTGGCTTTGTTTTCCTTAAATATAAAACGGGTCTGTCTGTGCCTGGAGCTGCTTCTCTCACAAACCATGGGCAGGTGTGCGGGAGGGTTTTGCTAAATCACATCAGAAAAAAGGGCGTCCGCAACTTCACTAAAGGGCTCCCCCGGCAGGCAGGAGGCGCCGGGCCGCGCCCTCGCGCAACGCCCCAGAGTTCAGGGTGTCAAGAGAGAATACCAGTAGCCACCGAGTCCAGTGCGTTTGCTTCTGAAGTCACCAAGACACACAGAAAGACGAGAGTGTTTAGGAAGAACAGGGGCAGGGACCGCCTGCTCCCCTGGGGGGGAGGCGGTGTGGGGGTGGCACGCTGAGCCCCCTCCCAAGGCCGGCCGGCCGTGCATACCCTGCCCCGCGCAGCCAGGCGAGCGGCCAGGACGGCCTCACAAGGCTGGTTAAAGAAACAATTTCCAAAACACGTGGGGGAGGGTCTCTGGAGGTCTTTGGAATGTCCGTGTGCAGCCGGGCAGCGCCTGCTCCCGGGCCCGCTCCTGCCAGTGCGCTGCGTGAGGTACGACACCCCGCTGGGGGACACGCCCGGCCTCCGCATAACTGCCCACGCACACTGTCCAGCGGCGCCCACGAAAGGAGAGGCCCTCGGACGCCGGCCTGGTGACCCGGCTGCGGCCTCCCTCACCGGAGGGCAGCTTCCTCAGGAGGCCCCCAGCTCAGCACGAGCCCCTCCTCCATGCGGCCTCAGAAGGGGCCTGGGGCAGCCGGTCCCAGGGCACGAGCCGCGGCCCAGCACCTCTGCTGTCCTAGCGGACGCCAGCGTGAGGGGGTCAGATGCAAAGTAACAGTACGTACACCGGAGTCCATGCATGCCTGTTTTTGTTTTCCAGGAAAAAAGTCCTTTTTCCTGTTTTTCGGGTTTTTTTTTTTTTTTTTTTTTTTTTTTTTTTTTTTTTTTTTTTTTTTTAAGATTTTCTTTTTCTTCAAACTTTAGGCCTGGCTCAGTGAGCCTTGGAAAGGGGAGGGAGCGTCGCAGAGGCCCCTAAGCTGCCCGGCAGTTTCTGCGCGAGGGGCTGGGGACACAGGGGGCTGTAAACACAGGGGCGGAGGAGCAGCACCATGGACCCTGGGGGAGCCCAGAGTCTGGGGTCACCAACCAAAAGGCGGGGGCGGACTGGAAAGGAAACAACCCAAGAACAAACCAGCGAGAGCTGAGGGGCGGAGATGGGGCAGGGGCAGAGCTCTCCAGAGCAGCAGCCGCCTGCGGTCGCATCCTCACACTGTGGACACCAGCGTGCCACTGCCGCTGTGAAACAAAGCACAGGACAGCTGCCCGGCTGCACAGCGATTGCCCGGCCAGAGCAGCAGGCCCGCCATGCCACGGAGGGGGCCAAGGCCACCAGCCATCAATGCCGCTGGCCTCAGTGAGTTCTAGGGAGATGAGGCCCAGAAGAGGGAACAGCCCCAGGCGCTTCCTGCGCCCCAAAGGAAGAAGAGCCAGCCCCAGAGGTCCCAAGAGGAGGACTTGCCCCCACCCAGCCTCTGGCACACCCCCCCCATGGCCCCACGGACGGGTCTGAAAGTCTTACCTGCTCACGGACCTGGCGCCATAGTCATCCAGACCCTGGGGGCAAGGCAGAAACAGGTCAGGCTGGGGGACCCAGGGTCTGAACCAAGTCCCCACCTCCCCGCATGACTGGTGCACGTCCGCCAACCGCTGCTCCAGCCTCAGTGGGGTCAAAGTGGACTCCCCAGGAAGGCTTCCCCTCCCCCACCTCCTGGCTGTGGTGCTCAGGGGCCTCCCTGGTCCCCAGTGGTGAAGTGGTGACCTCCCAAATTAACGAGATGCCTCGTCGGGCTGTCTGTGCTGTGTGCTCCCAACTGCACAGGACAGACCCCCTAAGACCCCTCTCCACGTGTGTCCCACGGCAGGGGCCCTGCACCCCCAGCCCCCGAGAGCACCGCAGGCTGCCTCATGCAAGCCTGGGCGGCCCTCGCACCCGAGTCCCCAGCTGTAGTTTCCTGGAAACCTCGTGCAATGTCCTGTCCTCGGAAGGTCACACTGCCCAGGAGCCCCCATGTCTCTGCCAGCTTGACCTGGCCCTGGGGCATCGAGGGGTGGTGACGACACTGAAGCCATCCTGAGGCTGGTGCCCTCCGAGGGCCCTCCTGTGACCCGGCCAGCCAAGCCCTCCGCAGAGGGAGGTGGCGGCGGGGGGGAGGGGAGGCAGCGAAGGCCTCAGGATGACCCTTTCCCCAGGCTCAGCTCACAATGTCAACGTGGGGGACCCTCACTAGCCAAGGGCACCTGAAAAAGACTGTTCTTTTGTCCCTTGCGATCCCCAACCTGAGGCCCAGCCCTAGAGACTGGCCTCCCTCCCCCAATCCCATGAGTCTCCCTGGGCAGGGCACGGGGACCCAGCCCAGACGCCAAGACCACCACACTCCCGGGACTCCCGGGCAGCGTCACTCTCCTAGACCTCGGCCCCCAGTACTGGATGGCCCAACCCCCGGGTCACGGCGACTAGAAGGCTCTGGCCACAGCCCATCCGGAGCAGCAGGTGCTCATGTCACATGACATGGCTGAGGGAGCCCCTGGCTTTCAGGGAAGAGCCCCTGGAAACCAAGTCCTCCCTGACCGGGGGTCCTCCTGAGGCAGGGGTTCAGGGCCCATAAGGCCAGATGCTTCCCAGCCAGACACAGCCCCCCGGGGGGGCAGTGAGCCTACATGGCTGCAGGGGCACCTGAGCCTGCGGACAGAGGGTGGCCACGGCAGGGAGCACACACACGTCCCAGACCGACCAGCCAGCCCCGCCCACTCACCTGGGAGAAGGCGGGCACGGCCACGCTGTAGGGCCGCTGCTTGAAGGTACCGGCTGTCTGGGCGGGGAAGGCCCGGGAGGACGCGCCGTAGTCGGGGGGTGGCAGGGCCAGGTCGTCCTTGTCCAGGAGGTTCCCGGTGCTGCTGCTCTTGCCCTGCTGCAGGCTGTAAGCGCAGGACTCAGAGGCCAGGCCCAGCGCCCCCGTCCTGCCCCCACCTCGCCCAGCCCCACAGGGCACGAGCACAAGCTCCCTTGGTGGCCGAGACCATAGCCACGCTGACCCCCCGGGCCTGCCCGTCTGGTCTCCCTCCCTCCTGTGGGCCGCTCGCCTGGCCCCGGCACGAGGCTGCATGACCGTGACCCCTGACCTTCCCAGCAGCCGTGTACCCCACTAAGTCCCAGCCACACTTCTCCAGAGCCTGTCCCAGGTCTATAGGAGATGGGCCACCATGTGGCACCTGCTGCCCATGGGCCCTCGGACCCCCCTTTACAGGGCACCTCCTGGCCCGGCAGCACCTCCATGCCCATCTACTCCGTGGGCCTCAAACGTCCAGCCCTCGGGGCCTGTGGGGGCAGCCACAGAAGGGGCCAGAAGCCCAGCTCTCTGTGCCCAGGGGCCTGGGGCAGCGCCCTTGTCCTCGCCGCAGCTCCTGTGCAGAGCTATGGGCCACGTGCTCCCACTGGGTCCCGGGCAGCGCTCACCTCATGTGCAACCTGTCACCACCGTCGCTGTCCAGCACCCGCGTGTAGGAGAAGGGAAACCAGCCCCGCCTGCGAGAGAGGCCCGCACTCAGCTCCAGTGGCACCCCGCCCGCACCATCCCCTCCAATCCCAAGTCCCACCCGCTCCCAGCCTGACTGCAGCCGTCTGTGGAGAGACAGGTGCCAGCACTCCAGAGAGACCAGGGACTGGGCCCACAGCTGTGTGTGCTCGGCCCCGAGCTGCCCCTGCCCCGATGGGAGCTATGGCCGACCCAGACCCAGCCATAAGGCCCCTGGGGCACCCAGCAGAGTTGCTGCTCCTTGAACAGGCTGGCTCCTGCCACACAGCCCCTAGCCACCATGCTGAGCCTGGGCGCCAAGACCAGAGCAGCTGCCGGAAGATGCAGGGTCCCTCCGGGACGAGTCCCCCCACCCAGGGAGGTGGCTGCCTGAGGGCCAGAGCAAAGCTCAGTTCACGCCCTCCCACCCGGGTTAGGAGGGCAAAGGTGTCAGGGCTGACTCTGCCATGGGGTGATACCTCCCATCTTTCCAACAGACACCGCACAAAACTGTGGGCCGGGGAAGGCAGACCCCAACCTAGGTGGCCTCCAGATCAGGCAAGGGTGTGACCTCAGCCCCTCGGCAACAGGTATTCAAGTAGCTGAGAAGGTGCAGCCCTTCCGACTAGACAACAGCACTTCTAGGCCAACCCCAAACTCCAGGACCCAGCAGACACGTGGAGGCCGTGGGAGGAGACCACACACCCCACAGTAGGGAAATGGCCAGATGTGCCATAGCTGTGCACACTCGTGGGACACTGCACCGTGGCGTGGGATGGTGCTGTGGCCACGCAGGTGACAGGCGACCAGACTGCCGCTGAAGGTCACTGCTGTGTGGGGAAAGACTTCCAGGGTTTCTTTCGTTCTTACTGCCCAGGTTTTCTATGACAAGAACCTGTGCCCTGAACCCCTAGTCTAAAAAAGGACCCAGAGGCCGGGCGCGGTGGCTCACGCCTGTAATCCTAGCTCTCTGGGAGGCCGAGGCGGGCGGATTGTTTGAGCTCAGGAGTTCGAAACCAGCCTGAGCAAGAGCGAGACCCCGTCTCTACTAAAAATAGAAACAAATTAATCGGACAACTAAAAATACATAGAAAAAATTAGCTGGGCATGGTGGCGCATGCCTGTAGTCCCAGCTACTTGGGAGGCTGAGGCAGGAGGATTGCTTGAGCCCAGGAGTTTGAGGTTGCTGTGAGCTAGGCTGATGCCATGGCACTCTAGCCTGGGCAACAGAGTGAGACTCTCAAAAAAAATAGAAAAGGACGCAGAGCCACCGGCGCATCCGAGCGCCACAGAGCCAGCAGGCTGCCATCCCTGCGCCACTGCAGACAGGCAGGCCACCCGCACGCGCCCCCGACGGCACTCACATCTTGGTCTTCTCGCTCTCGCCGTAGTGCCAGCCGTCACGGGCCTCGGGCACCAGCAGTGTGATGAGGTCCCCTTCCTTGAAGCTCAGCAGGGTGCTGTTGTCCCCCGCCGCGTGGGAGAAGATGGCCTTCACCCGCATGCGCCCGTTGCGCTCCAGGCCAGCGGCCATGGAGCTGGAGCGGGGCAGAGTCTTGTTCTCAGCTGTGGGGACAGGGGGCAGGCGTGAGGGGACTATCCCCGGCAGAGGCAACAGAGGCCAGGCAGCCTGGACGCAGTGCTGAGAACACTCCCAGCCCATGTGCTGGATGGCGCCAGAGGAACCGTCGGGCTAGCTGGAGCCGTCCCGAGTCGCTGACTGAGCGAGCCCGCGGCCACCATGTCACATTCACTGCCCCCTCCACGCGCCAGACACTGAACAGGAGGGGCCGGCGAGGCCTGCAGTGCGGGACAGAAAGCCCAGGTGCTGTGCACACACCCGTGCCTGCGCACATATGCATCCCCAGACAAGCATACATATCACACGCACGCTTGTGAGCCTGGGGTCTCCCAGGCCCCCAACCCAGCAACCAGAGGAGCCCTTACTGGCGGCGTAGCTGTTTTTGGGGGTCACGCTCTTGCGCACGGGCAGCGTGTTGGAGTACGAGTCGCTCAGCTTGCTCTGGGACTGCGGAGGAGACAGGGACTTGGGCTGGGCAGCCTTGCGGTCAGCCCAGGGATTGTAGTCCTCGCCATCCGGGCCTGCGACACCGTTCATGACGGGTGCGTTCTCCTGGGCAGACATCCGCTGCAGAGGGGGCAGCAAGGGGCAGGGCGTTGCCGGCAGCCCTGGACGGGGCCAGGCGGGACAGCGCCCCTCCCCTGCAGCAGGGAGGCCCGCTCAGCCAGCTGGCCTGCCCCAAGAGGCCACCCAGGTGCAAGGTCCCCCTCCCGTATGCTTCCTGGGGCCCACAGACTCACCCCCACGAACGGTGCCAGCTCGGGGGGCACTGGCAGGGGCTTGGCCCCTGGAATGGGGTCTGAGATGACCAGGTTGGACTTGGAGGCTGACAGGGTGCTGGGGAGGATGGCGCCGTTGCTGTTAGCCACCTGCTGCATCAGCTGGACAGCGCGGTCGGGGATCTTGTTGGGGTCGGCACAGGCCTGTTGCCACAGCGGCAGCTTCTGGGCCAGCAGCTCCTTGCCCTGAAGGGGAGGAGGCAGGACAGGGAGGGCGTCAGGGCTGGGTTCCCCCAAGGCACCTGGCTGAGGCTGGGGGCTCTCTTTGCCAGGTGGTGCTCTGCAGCAGGACAGGCTACCTGGGAGCCGCGACGCCCAAAAGGAGCTTCCCGGCAAAGGGCTGTGCCGTCGGGGGGCCATCAGGGGGGAGAGCAAACCAAGGCGCAACCTGGCAGGCCACAGGCCATGCAGGGGCCTAGATGTAGGAAAAACGGACAGGGGCCACACGGTGGCCACACAGTGGACAGACCCTTTGTGGGTAAACCACAGAATGCTATCGAAAGAGCACCATCCGGCAGGGGCAAGAGGGTGTCGGCCACAGAAGGGACAGAGCTGCTCCGCAGCGGCAAGGCAGGCTGCTGAGGGTGCGGGACGCTGCCTGGTCAGGGGCGCTCGGGCAGACACACTGGTGCTTAGGGCCCGAGGGCCGGAGAGCCCGAGTCCCAGAGCCCGGCCTTGCTCTGGGCCAGTGGGACACAGCCCAGCTGAGCACAGCAGAGTGTCAGAGGATGAGGGAGCCTGAGGCCTGGCCAGGGGCTCCAGGAATGGGACTGGCCTGAGTCTGGGGTACGGGGCAGGGGGTCCCGTGCCATCTGCTGCAGGGAACTCCCTGCCTAGGATGCGGGCACTAATCAAGCCCTGCATCACCAGCCGCCACAGACCTTGGAGTGGCCGGAGGTGTCCCCAGCTTCTCCAAAGTCCCCTCGATCCCCTTCAGCGTGGCTGGGTGGGCAGGGGCACCCATGGGTGGAAAGCGGAGGGTGTGGGACAGCAGCCCTCCTGAGCAGGTGTCTACATTGGGCTAGGCGAGCCGCAGTCCGAGGGCTGGACTCCTCTTTTGTAAAGGAAAGTATTTACGAATCACCTGTGGCCACTCATGCCACAACACACAGAGCCAAAAACATTTACCAACTGGCCCGAGAGAAAAAGGTCTGCTGACCTTGATTTGACCCAGGTCAACGATAGAGGAGCAAGTCTGGGTTTGGAAAAAAGGGGGGTGGGGCACACAGGCAGGGACCAGCGCCTACGTGGACAGCCCAGGGTGAGGGCGCGACAGGGTCACCGCCCTCGGCGCAGCAGGGCCTCCAGGCTAGGAGAGCAGCTCCGGCCTGATCCGCACGGGGCCCCGACAGCCACTAGCCAAGGTGACATCCACCCCAAGCCCCTGAAGGTCGCGTGGAGCAGCCCAACCCCGGCACTGGGGAGCTGCCGGGTCACCTCATTGCTGAAAACAGCCCTGGGGGGGCTGCCCTTGGCCGCAGTCCCAGCCCAGGTGCTGTCTGAGTGGATTTGTGGGAGATGTGCCCCTTCTAGACATGCAGGGGGTTGGAGGCCTGTGGGGAGGGGTCTGGAAGCATGAGGTGGGGGCGGGCCCATCTGTCACTCTGCTGCAGTCCGCGTCCCCTCCTGGAGCCACAGCAGCAGCAGGGCTTTCCCACCCGCCCTCCCCAACCCTGTCACGCGGCCAGCCCCCGACAGAGGGCGCAGACGCTGCCGCTGTGCTTGCAGCGCCCTCTCGTAGCAGAGCACACACCGCGGAGCCAAGGCTGCAGGAGTTTGCAGCGGGAGCTCCCTCGGCCCTGAGTGCAGGGGCAGGCACCCCACGTCAGAGACCTCCCCAGAGAGTGCCCACGATGGCACAGCAGAGGAGAGGTGGGGCCAGTGTAGCGTGCCCCCCAGGGGACACAGATGCTATGCAGGCCTTGCTTTGCACCTGCCCCCAGCACCCTGGCAGGCCCAGCAAAGGGAGGGGTGGCATTTGTCTCCTTGGTGCTCCCTGGCTGTGGGGACCAGAGCTGGTGCATGCCCTGCAGAGCCCCGGAAGCCCCGTATTTGAAAAGGACGTGACCAGGCCTCCCGTGTTGGCTCGGCTGCCAAACTACATCTTCTAAGCTCTCAGAATGCTCTGGAATGTTTCAGAAGATGCAATCTGATTCCATCCCAGCTCCCGCCCATGGGTGAAGAGAGGCCCACTGACCCTGCCTGTTCATGGCGGGGCAGTCTGTATTCTGGGCCCCACCTGCCCCCAGAGGCTAAGTCAGCCCCCTCCAAGGGGTCCTTCCCTCTCATGGTGGGCTCTGACCCCAGGGCCCAGGTCTTCTGTGGAGGGGCCCCTGCAGCCCCTCCCCGAGAAGCTCGTTCCTTTGAGAAGCCCCTACAATCTCTGTTCAGCAAGTCCGGGCTGGGTCCTGGGACACAGAGCCTCCCAGTGCAGAATCCCCCAACCCCCAATGAGGTGCCAGACTGGGGGGCCTCGCAGGGCAGACAGGGCTGCAGGACCTGGGGGGCTGACAGCAGGAGAGACCACTGGCCAGGGAAGGGGTCCCCCAGACTGGGGCACAGGAAGGGGAGTGGGATGTAGCCAGGCTCGTGGGTGCAGAGAGTAAGTAGAGGTGACAGAGGACCAGGTCACCGAGAGCCGGACCCCGCGGCCAGGTCTGCGTTCTGCGGAAGCCCCTCTGGTGCCTCGAGGGACGGGCCTGGGGAGTGGCCTGAGAGCAGGGGGCTGGGTGGTGGGCAGGGCCTGTGGTTGCCCCGGAAACCAGGAGGGAGAGCAGGTTCCAGTGGGATGGGCTGGTGACGTGGCTTCATCCTGGATGGCCAGAGGCTGGGAGCCCAGGACTCGGGGTCGAGGGGCCACCAGGGGCGGCACACGCAGACACAGAGCCAGCTGGACGGGGGAGCCTTGCACCCCACCAAGGGACCAATGCCCCAGACAACGTCCTAGGAGGCCCCAAAAGCCCACCAGACCCTGGATGCAACCTCTCTCAGAAACACACCGGGTGATTCCCAACGCGAGTCTTTAAAACACTCGCACCCTCCGACCTGGGAACCCTCTCTCTAGAACATGCCCAGGAAAACCCAAACGCATGGAGACGTTCACCCTAGCGCTCTACCACAGCTCAAGCCTGGACACACCCCGGCGTGCTCTTGGGGACGGGGTGGATGAGGTTGCTTCTGTCTTCGAGGCCCAACTGCCAGCAGAGAGCGTGGCCTGGCGCCAGCCTTACCTTGGCGTGGTAGGCGGCGGAGTTCTTGGCCACGGCACACTGTTTCTCCACGAGGAAGCAGAACCGCCGGCGCTCCTCGGTGAGGGCCGTCTTGTAGCCGTCGGACACGTAGCCCTCCAGCTCGCCCTGCTTGTTGCTGATGGCATCGATGTACTGGGGTGGGGGAAAGAGAGGGTTAGCGGGCGTCAGGAGGACAGGGCAGCCCATGGATTTCATTAAACCGTCCCCGGACAGAGGACCACCTGTGGTGTGTCTGCCCACACTGACTGGTGTGGCCGAGGGTCTTGCCTCCACTGGGGGAGCCTGGGAAGGGGTTGGGCTCTTCTTGAGATGGGGAAGGTGCCCGTGCACTGGGCAGGTTGCTGGCCAGCACCTCCGGGAAACCTTGGTGTGGGCAGGGTTTGGCACAGCCTGCCTGCGTCCCAGCTCCTCAGTCCCACCGAGGGACAGCTGCTTGGTCCTCCTGTGCCACCTGGTGTTCCCTCGGCCTATGAATGTGTTTCCAGAGCCTCTGAGCCTCAGCTCAGCAGGAGTTGCAGGAGAGGTATAGCCAAGGGACCCTGACCGGGGGCTTGTCCCTCTCTCCCACCTCTGAGTGCCTTGGAGCGAGGCAAGGCCAGCCTTCCAACGACACACCCAGGGGAGTGCGTGAGAAGGAAGTTCATGGACAGGACGGAACAAGAGGTCACTGGTCAGGAGCAGGGACCTCCTGCGATCAAGGATGGCTGTCCACCGGAGACACCGACGTCTGCCATGTGGCCCCCGGGTCACACTTGTGGGAATGGCATGTGCTTGGGAGAGGGGCTGCGCAGCTCGAATACTGAGAAGTGACCCAGACTGCTGCCCTTCCACCTCGGAGCTGCTGCAGTGCCCAGAACAAACACGGTGGCTTTGGAAACGCCCTCAGCTCATACAGGTGTGCTGGGCTCGGAACGACAGGCAGCCAAGCCAGACCCTGGACCAGGGCAGCCAGCAGGTGGCCCCACCCCTGGATCCGGAGGTCGGTCCTCAGGACCTCAACAGCTGTGCGTCTGCGTCTGGCTCTGTTGTCAACGGCTGGCACGTCTCAGCCATCTGTGCCTCCTGAGGGACACAAGATCCACCCAGGAAGCGCCCTGGCCAAATCAACCCAAGAAAGAACCAAATCTCAACCTGACAAAGCCTCCAGATCCAACCGCCAATTCCGAACGTGCCCAGACGGGGGGACTACGATAAAAACGGCATAAGCATAGAGTAGTCACGTCGAGACAGCGGGACGGTGGTTCCGAGGGACTGCGGAGGGGAGTCCTCTTTGAGGGGACAGTTCCATTTGGGAAGATGACAAGGTTCTGGAGATGGAGGGCGCTGATGGCCATACAACACGAATGTGCTTAAGGCCCCTGGCTCATACCCTTAACAGTGGTTAGAGCTGTAGCTGTAAAGTGCATCAGTTACGTGTATTTTACCATAGTTAAAAAAGAAATTCTTAAGAAGGTGGCACAAGGGAACCCTTAGAGGAGGAAAAGGAGACAGGGGGAGTTTGGGGGAAGAGCGCCGAGAGGCGACAGTGTCGACGCTGCCCTTTCTGGAGCCGGCACCAAGGGCTGGACCGAGGTGTGACGCCCACTGGGTGTGGTGGGAGCACCAGCATCACCACACCCCCCCAGGGCTCCGCCTCTCTCCCTCTGGGAGGAGCATGACCCCCCTGTGCCAGCCCCTCCATGAACCAGCTGGTGGATCGTGCGCCCAGGCCTGGCGGTGGCAGCCCAGTGCCACGGCACAGCTGGCAGACCCGGCGCCTCCTCCATCTCCAACGACAACCAAAACCACCTTGTACGTGAACCTGGACCCCGTCCTGCGTGTGGAGGAACAGCCAGCCACGGCCAGCTCACTTGGCGCAGGGAACGAGGATGCTGGTTGACTGGACTCTGATTTTGTAGGCTGGAAACCTCCCGTCCTCGAACGTGAAGACGGCGGGTGGCCGTCCAGGGTGAGGTAGGAGCCCCCAGGTGCAGACCCCCCAGTGTCTGCTCCCTCCTGAGAGCTGCTTCTCTGCCGGGAGGATCTTTGCGGCTCTCCTCCTGTCTGCCTTCTCCTCCCACGCCCACCCCAGGGGGCTGAGCCCCCACCCGGCTTGGGGCAGAGCATCCATGGTGGGCACGGACCCCCACCGGTCGGCACTGCCGTGGGAGTGGCTCTTTCAGCATCCGCGCTTGAGCAGGCTGTCCTCCGCAAGGGGGCGGCCTCCCCCGCCTGACTCAGGCGCCAGCCTCCCCCACACGGAGCTGACTCAGCTGGGGGGCGTCAGAGTGCGGAGCAGAGTGGGGCGCGCAGAGCAGACCGTTCCCTGGCTGCCGCCCCACGAAGCCTTGGCTGGGGGTGAGGGCCTGTCCCCAGTGCTGCCACCAGCGCAAGGCTCTGTCTGGCAGTCAGAGCAGCCACACCGTGCCCCAAGGCCAAAGCCCGCCCAGGCCTGTCACCTTCCCATGCTGTGCTCAGTCCCCTCCCCTCTGGGCTTTCAAAATAGCTGGCTTGTCACCTCACCCCAAACCAAGGCCACAGCCTCGGAAATAGGCCTGGGCCTCTCCAGTGCCCCACAGGGTCTGCCTGAACGGCTCCCACTGCACTTGGGGAGAAGTGGCAACACAGGTGAGAGACCCCCCAGGCAGCCCCGGGGCGGGGGGGCCGAGCTACTCTTTAGAGAGCTCTGCTGCCTCCTCCGCCTCCCCCTTCGCCTTCCCTCCAGCACCAAGTACTTTTCCTCTGGTTACACAACACGCGCCTACCAGGGCCTCCTGCTCCGGGAACCTCCCATGCACTCCGCAGCGCCTGCTCCAGGAAGTGGGGCGGTGAGCCAGCCAGCTCTGGGCCCCCGAGCTGGTAGAGGCATGGGGGGCATGGCTGGGCGGAGGGGCTCCTGGGCTCGGGGCCCTCTGTGCTCCGGCCTCAGCCTGGGTGCCAGGCTCCTCTCCCAACCTTCAGGGTAAAAGGCCCAGGTGGGGCAGGGGGCTTGTGCACAGAGAGGGGGTGAGAGACAAACCCCACGCCCCTGTCCCCCTCATCCAGGGCTTATGCCCAGCACCAGGCTGAGGCCACCTGGGGGTCCCACTCACTGTCTCACCCACCCCATCCAGGAGACTACTGGGGACCCTGGGGGTGCGGCCTCTAGGCTTCAGCTTGGAGCCAGGAACCCCCTAACCAGGGCAGCCGAGGGGGAGTGTGCAAGGTTCCTGAGGGAAGGGACCAGGAAATTCCCAACTCACCCTGTCCTCAGGCCACTCACTGTGCCCTCCCCCGGGGACTTTTCTGGGGTGGCTGGGCCTGGTGGAAGATCGCACAGAGCCCAGAGCACAGCAGGAGACCTGCCCTCTGGCCAGAGAAGCTGGGCAGACACCGAGGAAAGCGGCCCAGGGGCCCCCGAGGCAGGAGTAGGTGGCACTCAGGAAGCAAAGGTCACCCGAGGACAGCAGCGTGAACCAGGCTGCACGGCCCCCCGGGTCTCCCCACCCCGAGAACAGCACCGCCCTGGCCCAGGAGCCGGCAGGCTGCCCACCCTACGGACGGTTTCTGGGTTTCCAGGCTGCGGATCCGCGCACAGACGCGCTGCTCCCTGGGGTGCGGTGCCTGGCAGGGCCCTGGCCTCCTTAGTGGGCCTGGCAGCCTCGATGCGGGCAGGGAGTGGTGTTTTACTTTTAATATTTCCACCTGCTCAAACGAGCCTGTGAATGGCTGGGAGTGGCACAGGTTACAAGCGGGCACGGGGGGGGACAGGGCAGCCAGTCTGCACAGCGCTTCGGCAGAGGCCCAGCCTTTGCTCACAGGCCCCCAGGCCCGGGGGAGAGGCAGGAGTGAGGCTCCAGCCCCAAGGGGCCGGGAGAACCAGGATCCAGCCTCGGGCCCTACAGTCCAGCTGTGTTGACCCGAACACGAGCACTCAGCCGTGGCAGGCCAAGTCGCTAGTGACACGTGGCTGCCCGTCTAGGAACACCAGCCGACACCAACTGCTGGCGGAGCAAGGCTACAGCTTTCCTGAGCGGATCCTGGAAACCGGGGCCACGTGAGGAGCTTCACCCCACGAGGGGCCCAGCGGGGGTCAGCAAGGGAAGAGGAGGTTGCGGCTGCTCCGTGGGGCTCCAGCTACTCTGACCTATGGCTGAACAGGGCCAGAGGACATACCACAGCTTCGGTCTACACCACCGACCCGGCACCAGGCCGTGTGAACTGGCGCCGAGCCCGTCCCCGCGGGCGGGCAGCCAGGCTGCTCCTGTCCCCGCCCTGCTCCTTGCTTAGCTGGGTGCCATGGCGACCGCACTATAGAAACACCCAGCTGAAAGCATTTCAGACCCACAAAGCGCTCCCACTTAGTCACTCTGGCTGAACAGCCCTGTGATCCGAGAAGACAAAAGTGATCGGAACACATCTCTGCTGCTCCCCAAAGCTCGCTGGTGACTCAGGGTGGGGGAGGGGCATTCTAGAACAAACTGAAGCTGCTCTGGTTCCCTCATCCGATACGGCTGCTGTGGCTTTCCCACGTTTCTCAGAAACGGCGCATTGCCCCTTTAGATCCCCTGCAGCGCGTGAATGAGAATGTGATTCCTGGCCTTCAGCTGTCACCAGGGGTAACAATTACCCCCAAGGACATAGCTCCGGACCCAAGCAGCTGTGACATGTTGGGGGACAGGCAAGACAGGTCACAGGCCACCCGCTGGCCAGGCCTACCGGGCCTGCTGGACCCAGCGCCCAGGCTCAGAGCGGGACGGCCAGCTGGCGGTCAGTGCGTGGCAGACCAGAGGGCCTTTAAATCTCACCCTAAACACCAGTGCTCAGAGCAAGACTCAGGTTGGACTGGGCAGAGGGCAGTGGTGCCACCCTGCCCAAGGGCCGGCACCCCGCTACATGAGGAATGTGCCACAGGAACACCCTCGGGAAGAGCGAGCGCCTCTTTGGCAGGATCAGGGGTCCACGAGCCCCGAGGGCCCCCAGTTCCAGAGCTTTCCGCAGATTGGCGGGTTGGGGGATCCATGAACAAGAGGTCCCCAGGGCCCCACCACCTGCCCAGCACCCGCATGTGCTGGCCAGGCCAAGTGGGCACAGGAGACTATGTGGGCACTTTGCACCCACCATGGGCTGGACACGCTCACAAAAGGTGGCAGCCCAGAGACCAAGCTGTCCCC